CAGGACTCAGGTACATCCTTTATACAAAAGACATTTAGTCCACCTCCAAGAGTTGCCAAAGTCCTAAGTTTCAGCATTGCTGAACAGTCCAAGTCCCAAGTCTCTTCCAAGATCTACCTCAAACTGTTAACTGTAAGTCCCTGTACAAATGAAACAAAGTTAAACATTTCTCAAATGCAAAGGCACAAAATAAGCATTACCATTCCAAAAGTTACAAACAGGGAAATAATAAAGCACTGGAAACAAAGCAAGTCCAACATCCAGCAGGGCAAATGTTAAGTCCTAGAGTTCCACGCTCAGCATCTGAAGCAATCTGGTTGCAAACTCCAAAAGGTTTGGGTGATTTCACCTTCAGGGCACCTCTGGCAATTTCAACTCCCGCAGCTTTTCCCTTAAATCTTCTCTGCTCACTTTTTGCAGCTTCCCTTGGATCCTCCACATTCCTGCCTTTTCCAAACTTCTGGGTTCTCCACTGTACCTTTGGTTTCACACTTACATCTTCACAAATTGCCCTCTCAGGGGCACACTGCTTGGCCTCCCAGGCCCTTTGCAATCGAGGTGGAAGCCGTCTTACCCTCAGAATGCGTGCATTTTCCTTGCACCTAAAATCAGCACCTTGTGGATGCCGCCAAGGTTTGCTGCTAGCTGAAGCAGTAGCCAGGCTTTTCTCTTTCTTGGCTGTAGGGATCAGTTGCCTGGATCACAGGGCTCTGTTTACCTGATTGTGATGAAAAGCTTCTCTGTGTTGCCACCATTCTGGAAACTCATGTGGCCTCTGTCGCCATTCTGGAGCATGGCACTCTGTAGCTTTTTCCTCTGAGCAAATTTTTTCATCTTTGCTGTGAGGCTGCACAGGGTGGGGACCTGCTTCCTGGGATGCCCCGGGGCCATCTTTCTTATCTCTCTGTTTCTCCTCAGGAACCAAAATCTCAACTCTGTCTTTACAATCCACACCCTTCCTGGAATTTTCCTTCTGGTCAAACTCACAGCATTTTAAATTATCCTCTTGGGCTCTTTGCTCTCCATTTGAAACATACAGCTGGCTGAAAGCCCCCAACAGTAGCCATGCCACAGCCTCGATATGTTTGATATCTTTTTAATTTCTTTTTCAAGATTAATCAGTCCATTGCCCTTTGTCTCAGTCTTAGGCAAAGTCTCTGGGCAGGAGCAAAATGCAGACAAACTTTCTGCCAAGCCATAACACACATCATGTGGAGTCCAACGACCAATGCAGTCCTTCCCAGCAGAAACCTCTCAAACCTGGTCTTTACCATGAGGCTTTTTATCAGCCTTCTGGTCTCCAGAGCTCTGACCAGAATCTCCTCTACAGAGCAGCCTAAGCTCGTACTCAGTTGGCTCCAAGACAGGCGGGCATGGCTGGACCGCAGTTCATGGCAGCCGCCGACAGCAAGCTCGAACCAGAAAAGAGAAAGACATACCTTCTTCCTGCCATTACATCACATCCTGGCTCCACCGCTAGGTGGGTGGAGCACTGACACCATCAATCCAAGCACTAGAACATGAACCAATCACAAATACACAATGCAAACTCATGAGGCCTGGGGGACACAAACATAAACCATGACACCATTGGATATAACAAAATCAAACAAAACAAAAGGAAATAAAATCCAACCCAACAAAACAATGAAAACAATACAGGAATTCAAAACAAGACAATAGGGTATTAACAATGGCCACCACATTCAGGAGATGCCCCCTAGATGCCACACTGTGTACCACTATCCTCTGAACAGATGATCAGACCATTGGCTCTAGACCTGCAAGGTCAGTGAAAACAAAACAGCCCAAGCATCAAATTGCATTTCACCTCAGTAGCTGTCATCACAGTCTGTGTTTCTCTGGATCAGCCAGTAACTTAAGGGGCGGAAGTGGGATTGGTTCTTCTTGTTTGTCAGCTTGTATGCCAGAAGGGGCTGGGATTTTGCTGTCCCCATGCTGGCAGTGGCCCATACATGGTGCTGGTTAGCAAGGGGGCTTGCTTCTTGGTGAGGCCTTGTTCTCTTCCCCCATAGTCCGTGAATGGTGCTGACTCACGGGGAGAGGCTTAGGTCTGGTTCTTCCCTAGCCACTGGCAGCCTGTGTTTAGCATCTGTATGTTGGATCTCATTTTTTGATCCATTCTGTCAATATTGTTTCATTTATTTTGTGAATTGAGACCATCAAGACTAAGACCAAGGATAATCATACTTATCCTTGCCAAATTATTTTCTCCTTGTTGATTCCTTTCTTCCCCTCATTTTAATTTCTTGCCTTGCTTAGAGAATTCATTCTTCTGGGATTCATTGAATTGTGTTTTTCAAGAATATCCTTCAGTGCTGGTATGGTGGTCATGAATTTCTTCGAGTGTTCCTTTTCATGGAAGTATCTTATATGTCCATTAATTTTAAAGGTTAACTTTGCAGATTATATCAGTCTGGGTTGGAAGTTTCCTTTAGGCTTTAAGTATTTCACAATTTCTTTGACTTAAGAGTTTGTGTTGAGAAGTCTGCTGTAATTGTGATTGGCTTTGCTTTATATGTTATTTGTTCCTTTTTCTTAACAGCTTTTAATATTTTGTTCTTGTGTTGAATTTCTGGAGTCTTGACTACATATGCCTTGCTGTATATTTTTTTCTGATCATAGCAAATTAGAGGTCTATATGCCTCAATTATCCAAATGTCTGGTTCTTTTTCCATGCTTGGGGAGTTTTCTACCATTACCTCTATGAACAGAATTTTATGTCTCTTGTGTTATCATCTGTTGATTCTGATCAATAGTGTTTTTCATCATTTAGCAGCTGTTGAATTGATTTTTTATGGTTCCTTACTATTTTTAAGCAGTCTTTCATTTAATGATCACTAACTACAAACCTGTCTTCTAGATCAGATATTCTGTTCTTACATTGGTTGATTCTGCTGTGTATACTTTCAATAGAAACTTAAATCTCCTAGATATAAGTTTGAATTTGTTTCATGAAATCTAGTTCTTTTCTATATTGGGCATTAATGGTTTCCATCACTTTCATATGCCCATTTAAAAAGATATATATATCTCCTCTGGATTTATTAATCATGTCCTTCATTATAGTCATCATCTCTTCAGTTATCTGTGTAATTATTTCTGATTTGCTTTTTTCTAGAGACTTATTCATTTGCTTTATTCCACTATGACCAGAAAGTCAGAAAGTTCAGTTGGGCTGCTTTTGATTTTTTCAACCTCAGTGCCCACTGTATTTCCCTTGGGTAAACTAGAGGTCAGGAGTTGAATCTTGCTTCCATTTCTTATTTTATATTTTTAAAATTTGTTTTCTGTTTTGATTCTTGCAAATTTCCCATGTTAGATAGCTTTGTTACTAGTATTGAGACTTCCTTAAGAATGACTACTTTTCTAAGATGTTTTCTGAGTGTGACTGGCTTTTGGCTTTTGAGTCTGTCCCAAGATCTTGCCTCTTCCATTTATTAGGTTAAGAGGTTGCTGCCTGTTTGATCTAGTATTCAACTGTGCAGTAATGGACTGTCTCTCCCAGACAGTTTTGGTTCTGGCATACAAAGAACAACTCATCACAACTATGTTACCTTGGCTAAAGTAGTACAATCACTAATAACAATAGCATCAAAACAGTCTAGAAATGAACAAACTATGGTAACTGTTAATTTTCCACCTTTAACTGTAATTATAAGATGTATAGTTATATAACAAAATCTGAACCCAATCAGAAAATTGCATAAAGTGAGTATCCTGCCCAATAGTGTGATTTTATGCATGGTGGAAAAATGTAAAAGGGATAAGAGGAAAAAATAGAGAAGAAAAAGAAGAATAAGAGATTAGAAGCAAAGCTGAATTATAAAAGAGGACTACCCAAGTTTGCTTTGGGAAACTAGTGAAAGAGACATGGGAGGAAGAAAAAAAGGAAAAACCAAAAAAGAACAGAACAAAGTAAAATAAAACAAAAAACTAAAAATAATGCATTCATGATAATACAATCAAGAAAGAAAGCTTCTTGGGTCTGCAGTTTTGTTTTAGTGTCCAATTCTAGGTGTATGTCCACTGTTACTGATAGACAAAAGAAACATGTAGAGCCCATGTCCAATCTGTATGATCCCAGAAGGCTGTTGTAGGATTTTGCGGGGGGGGGGGGTGTTGGGTAACCCCAGCAAATCTTCAGTAGGAATAGGGTGGGATGCCGATTCTGATGCTTTCAGTACTGCATGCTGTAAGCTGGGAGTCAGGAAGAAAGTATAGTTTTCGACTTCCTTTTTCTGTGTGACATCTGTTTCTTCACTTTCCCTGTGGGCTCCCCATTCTTTCTTCAGAGCCTTCCTGGGGCCCAGGAATCCACTTCTCTCCTTTTATCTCCCAATTTGTTATATTCCAATGATTGGATTCCAAATCTTGGAGAGGCTAATTTGCTGCTGTTTACTGCTTCGTCATCTTCCTAGAAGTCCTTAAAACTCTTAAATGACTTTCTGGTATGTTTAAAGTCCAAACTTTACTTTTTACTGTGGTCTATGTGCTTTTATATAATCTATTCCTTGCCTTTTCTAAGTTACTTTGAATGAGACAAGCTCTTTAAATAACGAATCTACCAGAGTTACAGGATTTATTATTAACTTAATGATGAAGAAAAATCTTTTTATTTAAGAAACTTACCAAGTATGATACTTTTCAGAAATAATGTAAGATCAATAAATTATTAAATAATATAAGATCAATAAATTATTAATTGAAATAATAGATCAATAAAAAAGTTTATGATTTATAGATTATCTTCCTGGGACAAAGCAAAATTACTGATTTCTTGTGTTTTTTTCAGTTGACACATTTATAATACAAAACAGGACAATACATATTTTCAAATATCTCTACAGTGGGTAGCAGAGTAAGTTGAATATTTTGTGGTTTTTCATCAATATACTTCATTAATATAGTAATTATAACTTATAAGATAACAGATATTACTTATATTATGTTGCATTATTTTAATTTCTTTATATTTATTAACTCAATCTTTACTCATGAATTTGCATGTCATCCTTCTGCAGGGTCCATGCTAGTCTTCTCTGTGTTGTTCCAATTTAGTATATATGCTGCCGAAGCAAGCACAATTCAATCTTTCTTAAAATTCATGAGATAGGTACTATTGTTATTATCACATACAGATCATGATTTAAGGCATACAAAGGTTGAAAATCTGCCCCAAATCACACGTGTAGTAAATGACAAGGTTAGAATTTGAACTCAAAAACTCTGGGGTAGGTAATTCTCACAGCACATTAATATGCTTCTCAAATCTAATATGAATGTAGCTTTTTAAAAAATAGTATAGTATAGAGCTACCTTTTCTCAGCTGTTTGGTAAAAAACACAACCATTTTCTTTATTCCCCTTCTCAAATTACTTTTGTAAGAGACCATAGCAACATGGCAAAACATTCTATTGGAGTTGGAAAAATAGCAGAATTGAGAATCTTAAAACTTTTGATATAGAAATGGATAGATATTTATTAAAAATCAAAAATATTTATTAAAAATGGGATGTGAGGCATGCAGTGTTTTGCAGTCATATTTTGCAATGTAATCTCTTATTATTTTCTTTGTAAATTCCTTCAGAAAATGGCCTTAGAATTTGTTGGGAAAGGAGTGACATTTTCTTTCTTTTTTATTTTATTTTTTGTCTTTTTCCTTTTTTTATCAGTACCAGGGATCGAACTCACGACTGCCTGCTTTCAAGGCAGGTGCTTATGCCGCTGAGCTAAATCCCCAGCCCCATTCTTTCTAAATTCCTAAGGCTCTGGCACAGTGACCTTGGATTCTTCCCAGTACCATAACCATGACTGCCTCAGAGACTTTTCACTTGCTCTGATTTTTGCCCATCATATATTTCTTTTAGTTCTTTTAGTTATTGACTTCTTGACATTTCATTCTTCATTCAGATGTCACCTCCTCAAAGGATGATCTGTGTTGCCATCTCATTTAAAGTTGCATTCTCTCTTTCATATCATTTGCCTTTTGTTTTCTTTGTAGTATTTATTTTTTCATTTTAAAGAGAGTAAACAATGAATGATACAGAATGTTGAAACAAGGTAGTTACAATGGTTAATATATGTAGTTTTTTCTCTTTTCCCTTATTTTTTTCTCCTTTCCCCCATCTTAGTTTCTCTTTCCTTTTTAACAGTTTCTTTACATTTAACAATATGTATTGTGTATTTTGGATCTTATTTATCCTTTCTACTTCTTACACTAGAGAAGCAATGAGATGCTCACACTTGGGAGTCTGATTTATCACTTGTGAGTATGGTCTCAAGTTATGTCCATTTATCTATAAATGTCTACAGTTTATTCTTTATAGCTGAGTAATACACCAATGTATAAAAATATCATGTCTTTTTTATCCATTGCTCCATGGATGAGCATTTGGGTTGTTTCAAGGTTTAGATATTAAAAATTGTGCTAATAAAAAAAATGGATGCACATATATTGCTGGGGTATGAATCTTTTAAGTCTTCTGGGAAGATACCCAGAAGGGAAATAGCTTGGTCAAACAGGACCTTTAATCCTAGTTTTTTTTTTTTTTTTTTTTTTTTTTGAATGTCAACACTGATTTCCAGAGTAGTTGAACCAGTCTACACTCCCACCAATAGTGGAGAAGTGTCATTTTCTCTCACAGCCCATTTGTTATTGGTTGATTTCTTGATGATAGCCATTCTTTCTGTGGTGAGGTAGAATCTGTGTTGTTTTAATTTGCATCTCTTGAATGACCAATGATGTTGAACCTTTTTTCACATGTTTATTTGCTATTTGTATTTCTTCATCCTAGAAGTGTGTCTTCACCTCAGATGCCCATTTTTTAATTGAATCTTTAAACCTGGGAGGACTGATTTTTTATTCTTTGCATGTTTTTGATAGTAATTCTCTGAGGTACAGCTGACAAACATTTTCTCCCATGTTATTGGTTGTCTGTTCAGTCTGTTGGTGGTTTCTCTACCTGTGCAAAAAGCAGGTTAGTAGGGTGGGATGCCAGTTGTTGATTCTTTGTGATAGTTCCTGTGCAATTGGGGTTTTGTTCAGAAAGTCTATGCCTACTCCAATATCTCATTGGTGTAGACCATCAAAGATTTTACCTATTCTATCTTCCAGCAGATTTAATATTTTTGTTTTAATATTAAGATCTTTGATCCATTCTGAGTTTAGCTTGGTACCTGGTGAAAGATATGGATCCAGTTTTAATCTTTGGCATATGGTGAGCCAGTTTTTCCAGCACCATTTATTAAAGAGGCTATCTTTCTGACAGTGAATATGTTTGGCATCTTTGTCAAAGATAAGGTGGCTCAGTCTGTCTGATGTTCTTTTAATCTGTCCCATTGATATTCAAATCTGTTTTCTTTTTTTTTTTTGCCAATATCACACTTTTTAAAATCACAGTAGCTTTATAGTATAATTTCAAGTTAGGGATTGTGATGCCTGATGTCTTGTCTTTGTTGCCTAGGATTGCCTTTGCTATTCTAGGACTCTTCTGATTCCACATGAATTTTAGGATTATTTTCTTTAATTCTGTGAGATACTTTATTGGAATTTTGATTGAGATTGCACTGAATCTATATAACAGTTTTGGAAGTATGGCCATTTCCACTATATTGGTTCTTCCTACCAAGAGCACGGGATATCTCTCCATTTTCTCATATCCTCTTCAGTCTTCTTTTTCAGAGTACTTAGTTTTCAATGTAGAGGTCTTTTACATTCTTTATTAGATTTATTCCTAGGTATTTCATTTTTTGGGGTGGTATTATAAAATGCATTGTTTCCCTAATTTCTCTCTCAGTTGGTCTGTTATTCATGTACAGCCAAGCTATTGATTTTTGAGTGTTGACTTTGTAACTAGCTACACTATTGAATTTGGTTATTAAATCTAGATATCTTTTGGTGGAATTTTTGGGGTCTTCTATTTAGAGTATCGTGTTTTGCAAATAATGATAATTCAACTTCTTTCTTTCCTATCCTTACTCCTTTTATTTGTCTGGTCTAATTGCTCTGGTTAATATTTTCAGAACTATATTAAATAGGGGTAGTGATAATGGACATCCTTGTCTTGTTCCTGATTCTAGAGGGAAAACCTTCAGTTTTTGTCCATTTAGCATGATGTTGGTGTTGATTTGTCATAGTTGGCTTTTACCAGATTTAGGTATAGACTATTTTGATTTATTTTTTAATCATGAATGAGTGTTCAACTTTTTCAAAAGCCTTTTCTGCATCTATTCAGATGATCATGTGATTTTTGTCTTGGGCCCTTTTAATATGCTGTATTACATTTACTGATTTGTATATGTTGAAACATCCCTGCAGTCCTGGCATAAATCCCACTTGGTCATGGTGTATAATCTTCTTGATGATTGCTGCATTCTTTTTGGTAGTATCTTACTGAGGATTTTACATTCTGTTAACTAGGGAGATTGGCCTGTAGTTCTCTTTTTGTCTTTTTCTCTCTCTTTCTCGCTCTCTCTTTTTTTTTGGTCTTTTTCCTTTTTATCGGTACCGGGGATCGAACTCACGACTGCCTGCTTACAAGGCAGGCTGTGTAGTTCTCTTTTTAAGTTGGGTCTTTCTCTGGTTTTGTTTTCAGGGTAAAACTTGCCTCCAGGAATGAGTTAGAGAATATTTCTCCCCTTTCAATTTCATTAAAGAGTTTAAAGAGTATTGGCATTAAATCCCCTCTAAATTTCATGTAGATTACAACCATTAATCCTTGAGGATCCTGGGCTTTCTTTGTTGGTAAGTTTTTAATTACGTTTAAATTTTTTTTTTATTATTTTGAAGGTAGTAAAATACAACAAAACAAGACAGAGCAAAGCCAATTGAGACATGCAGTGAAATCGGTACAGAATGACACAGCAGGTTACCAGGATAACAGTAATAGGTACCATAGTATATCTCGTTATCTTCACAATAGTTGTTCTTTCAATCAGGTATAGCAAAATCAAATGAAATATAGAACATAATAGAACTTATTAAAACAGAATATTGAATAGAGCAATACAGTTAATCAGAACAAAGCAAAACAGTGATAACAATATTTGCCTTTCAAAGAGATGGTAGCAGGAAACTCCCTATATTTGCTATATTGCATGTGGTCAACCTCCCAAGAGATACTCAGACATCTGGCTCCCATTTGCTAACAAGGGAGGTGGGGGATGGGATGTTTGATTCTCAGCCCATGCGCCAGTATGCTCAGGGCTGTTTACAAGGGAGGTGAGCGGGTTGCTTTGTTTCCCAGTGCCCTAAGTTCCAATATGGCTTAGATCTCGGGAGACATTGGATAGTTCTCTTCCTGGGGTGGTCACAGCTTGCCTGAGCCACAGCTGCTTTCCAGGAAGGTGAGCAGGTTGCTTGGTTTCCCAGCACCCTAAGTTCCAACATGGCATGGATCTTGGGAGATGCTGGGCGATTTCATCCTTTTCATTCTCAATGCATGAATTTGCATCTTTCTTTTCCTTTTTTGATAACATTGATGTCTTAGTTACTTTTTTCTCATTGCTAGGACAAAATACCTGACACCCAAAATTATGGAAGGAAAATTTTATTTGATTCAAAGTTTGTGGAGGTTTCATTCTGCAATCAGTTTGCTTCAAGGCAAGGTGACATTTCACAGGGACAGTACTTCAGAGCAGCAGAAGATAGAAAAAGTAGCAAAATCAAATGGCAGGGGGATAGGAAAAGGGAAAGCCTCTCATCTTCCCTGATACTGTAAGTATGCCATGACCCCTAGGGCAGGTGGGGCACTCACACCATTTCTTTGCCTTCCTCTTGCGTAGGATGAGGATGGTCCCTTGCCAAGTCACTTCATTGAACTTTTAATCTTCTCAAGTCGACACAGTGTATCAACAATAACAAGCCACACCTTGTGAATTTAACAACCAGACACGTATCTTTAAACAGGTTTCCACATACAAAGACATACTTATTCATATCATTTCACAATTTGAACATTATAACACAGGTTTACCAATCCTTAAGGATCAGCATTAGGTCTATCAAAATTATGTTACATTAGAATCATATCATCTTCCCCTGGTCCCCCAAAGACTCATGCACATACTTTTATGCAAGAGGT